CTTGTCCTGCTGAAACAATCAAATGGTAGCTGTTGGTTTTGGGTTTAGATGTTCACCGGGACATCTCTCTGGTTTAGTGGATATGAATCGTTGTCTAAGTTTCCTTTTTCATGCTTTGATATGTTTCTGGTGTTTATTAGTGTCTCTCATATTCTCTCTTTCACCCTCTATGAAAGGTGTTATGCGCGTCTGCATCCGAGGGCTGTGAACTGCAGGAAGAAGAAATGTGGTCACAGCAATCAGGTATGGCTTCTTTAGACTATCTTTTTTGTTTGTTTTTGTAGTGATGAGTTCGGCTATAGAGAGTGACTGTAACACACATCCCATTGAATCCTTCCTGCAGTTGAGGCCAAAGAAGAAGATCAAGTGAGGTGTGCCTGCTTTGAAAAGCTTGATTGTTTTCTTTTTGTTTTGTTCCTTCAAAGTGAAATGCTCTGCCTATATAAACTCTGTTCTAGTGGATGAAACTAATTTAATGTCACAGTCTCTCTCTCTCTCCTAAATAAATTTTAAAGAAGAAAAGCTTTCTTCAATGAGGTCTTCATGTTCCACGCAGTTCAATGGCGGCTCAGTCGTTGGTTGTAATCCATTATTGAATGCTCTCTCTACCCTCAGATGTGTTATCGTTAGGGTCTGGTTATGTTTCATTTCAATTGCTTTTTGGGTTTGAATGGTTTTCAATTTTAGTCAAGGACATTGTGCTCATGCGAAGTGGGGCACTCATGAATGACTGTAAGTGTAAAGCTGTTCGGGGTTATCGGGTGTTCCAGTCTTGGCATTGCCCCATGCGGGTGACCTGAGGTCTCGGTCTCGGTCTTGCTCTCATGAAAGTAAGTCGGGTAATCACGGGTTACGATTAAGGGTGCTCGTTTGATGAGTGGGTAGAAGTCGCGGAAGTGATGGCAATGGGATTGTGTTCGTGTTTGGATAATCCAGATATTACCCACGAGTTATAGTAAAAAGAATAATGATATTTTACCTATAGATTTTATATATATTAAATACAAATCTATTGAAATTTCGAGTTCTGATTTGGTTAATTCAAAATTTTCTAATATCCCACTTTAACTTTCACGTATGATATATATATATTTTTTGAATAAAATTTGAAATTTTTTGTATCTGAATTTGAACCACGTGAGAGGAATTTTGGATACCCGACCGAACATGTCCACCACCCCTTACGGTCCACTCAATGGGCTCGGTCCAAAACGGACATGCAATCTGGTAATTACGCTTTTACCATTTTGTCCCTCTCAACGCAATCGCGTCGTAAGGAAAAGTAATAATTTAATAGGCCCATGAGGCCCAATAATTCTCACGTATAAAGCCCTTGATTTTACCTTTCGGCGCCATCTGAAGCTCACGTTCCCGCTCTCCGTCTCTTCTTCTTCGCTCCATTTTCTCTCATCAGTCATCATCGAAAACCTAATTTCAGGGATCAGTTCACCGATCCATCCTGTGCGATCAGGTAATGCTTTTTCTCTTCTTCTTTGTCGTGGGAAAATTTTCTGAAGAAAACCTCAACTGTGGAGTTTACAATTGTTTTCCCTTGTGTCCGTTAAGTTCTCTCTTTCTCTCTCTCAAATGTTTCGTTGTGTAGATATTGCTTTCGGTTTGCTTAATACTGTGTGGGAATATCTTGATTTACGGATTGATTTTTTACTTTTCCTGTTCGGCGTGATGATGTTATTCCCGGAGGCTTGCGAAAAATCTATAGATTTATACTTCAGTGAGAAAAATCTCATGATCTTTGATAGAGTAGTGCGGAACTTTCATGCTCTTTGAAATTTTGAATGAGATGTATTTGATTTTGACTTAACAGGTAATTGATGAGTAATTATCAACCAGGTTTGCCTCGAGTTTGTCCGAATTCTTAACTCTCACTCAAGTAGTAAAGCGTGATCCTTGATACAGATATGGATACTTCAAGCCCTGCGGCTTTTGTGAATGGAGCCCTGCTGAGGCGTTACATAGGTCAGAAGGTCCGAGCAGTCGTACAAGTCATACGGTCTGATGTCGGATCTGTGGTCGGGAAATCGACCGATGATCAGCAGATCATCGCTAGGGGTTCGCCTCCTGCGCCTCTTACTACCTACCTAGAGGTCATTGGAATTGCAGAGAGTGATAATGCCATTAGAGCTGAAATATGGACCAACTTTGGTGACAATTTCGGTATGCATCTTTGACCCTTTTTCCTAACGTTTCCTTGCCAAACTGATTCCTTCGAATGTACCATTAACATATCAAATTATACGATCATATTCTAAGGTCTCCTCTAAGCTGATGATAGAACGAGCATTGTCTTGATTCTTGTGGCTTGACCGCTTGAGGCACATAAAAACAGTCATTGAAATCTGAGAAAAACATGAACTATTTCTTTCATACATGGTAACCTGAATAGGCTGCTATTGAATTTGAATCCCCTTTGTATCCTTCCATGAGAGTTCTTGTGGCATAACATGCATATAACGTATCTATCCTCGCTAAGCAATGTTAAATAGCACTAAAAGCAATTGAATAAGCTGAGTCATTGGGGATGTGATGCTGATCTCTCTTGTAGTTGCACGGTGAAACCTGACAAAACCCGATTGCTCATACATCTTGTAGCGAAAAAATATGTTTTGTAATATGCTCTCGGAACATTTTGATTACCGGCTAGAGGGCTTTCCTCGAGTTATCTTCTTGCCTCTTATTATGCTCAATTTTTGTTGCAGATACAAACAACTACAATGAGCTGTGTAAGCTTGCAAATGGAGAGTTCAAGGACTTGTTCATCTAACGGTATGAACATAAAAGTTATATTAACCTTTTGTTTGTGGATCTACGGGCGATTCATCTCACTTTTTCTATGTCATGATTGAGCCATTTTCAGATTTTGGTTCAGTTCGATCCTAAATGACTGTCATTAGTAGTAATGTGGTTATAATGTGAGTAAGATCCATTAACTTGTGAACATTAGTAATGTTATGATGAATTCTTACACTTTCCCGTTCTTTATGGTTCAGATGAAATGATCAGTGAGCGGATTACGATATAATCAGCGCTTAATCTGTACAAGTTCTTGCTGGAAAAAACTCATGTTTCCTCATTCTTCTGTCAATGTTAATCTTCTTCCTCCTATCCGTACTTTGCTTGAAGAGTTTCTGTTCTTTTTGTTTTGTTTTCTCTTTGCCTTTTGTCCTTGCCATGGTTTCCATGGTTGGTCTTTGTCTTTGTTTTGGTGTAAAAATGTCTAGCGTCCACTTATTTTGCAATATAATGTATTTTAATTTGGACATGTGAAGCCCCAAGAGAATCGAATAGCATCTAGTCTTGTAAAAATCGAATTTGATTTAATCTAATTGGGTTTCATTTGTTAAGATCTAATTAATTGAAATAGAAAATGAAATGTTTTTAGTAAAATATAAAATTCAATTAGAATTTGAAGAAACAAGGGTCAAAAGGTTTGGGTTGATCGAATATGACACATTGAAGCTATTGGGCTCAAGTCAATGTGGATTGCTTTATATAGATTGTGAGCAAAGAGGTTTCGACACTTCAATTTTTTTTTTCGTTTTTGAAGTTTATAATCATAAAAGGAAAATTAAGGATTCATATATATGAAATATGAAGTATTTCTCCTCCGGCCACCTTCGGGTGCTTCACATCCCACACGTGTGGTGCCGGTTGTGCGTGTGGGTCGGGATTAGTCTGGGCCCTTTGGGCCTGGGATTACCCGGTTATCAAAAAAAAAAAAAAATATGAAGTATTTAAAAATATCCTGGCATTGGCCCATTGCAATAAATGTTATAACATTTTTTCTATAAAAAATAAAATTTATTCAGATGTGCGGTGGATGAATGAATATTTTAGTCTAATACTGTTTTATAAATTAAAGTTTATTATGCCAATAACAACAAAATTTTATGATAATTAAAAATACCAAATAAGTTTCTCGTGATGACAAAAAAAAAAGGAAGAAAAAAAAAACAAGGGCTCACTAGAAACAACTGTACCCAATAATTTCCCAAGCGCCAAATGATCCATTCTCTTGTAGTTTCCCAAAGCACACATGAACTAGGGCCCCAACAAAGTCTCCCTCTTTTCCCCACAACCACCGCGCCAAAATCTCTTCCTGAAATCCCTAATTAGGGTTTTCTTCCGTCGCACGAGCTTGTCTCCGTTGCGCTCCCCATCTCTCGTTCGAGGTACTTTCTCTCTCTGCCCTTTATTCATCTGTTAATCTCAGGCTTCTTGTTCATACGGGTCTTCGAACGCTCGCTGGGATTTGTTTTCTGCTCTTCGTCTCTCTTTTTTCCCTGATTTCGATGTAAAATTTCTCCGGTGGGTTTTGTTCATTAGGTCTCCTCTAGCTTCCGGGTTCGGCTTTTTCCGTTTCTCGCGAATTGGGGTTTTCATCTGTGCTAAGTTTTGGTGTTTTTTTTACATCTGTATGTAAGGATGATAGTAGATTTGGCTGCGTAAGTTTTGTCCTTGGAACATATTCTCTCCCGTGGTGGATTAACTTGGCATATTTAGGTTTGGGTTTTTGATTGACTTGATGAAATGATGTTTTAGAGTTTGTAATCTTTCCATGTAAGAACCCAAGTCAAGGAATGGTAGATATAAGCTGAGAATTCTCTTAACAGGTTATAGATTGGCAGCATAAGATTTCACTTGAGCGATGTGTTTCGGAGATATAACATTGGAGCTGGAGTTGTCTAAGTGGGAAATCTGAGATACACTTGTTATGTCTATCTTATGATAACCCCTCTCACTTTTGCCATGTTAATCGATCTATGATAATAAATGGCATACTTTCTCTTTGCCATGGTGTAATCTCTCTGCATCAGTCTAAGGCCTATAATATCATGTTTTGCTCGCTCTCAGGGTGACTCGTATCTTTCTCCTTTTTCTTCGGGGGTTGTTTTTGTTCTCATTGGATTGTTTGTTTCACCTGTTGAGCATCATTCATCCTCCCCTCTTTTGTCTACTGTTTGTCATCTTACTACTATTTTGTGACCCCGCCCCTTGTCCGCCTCATTCATTTTGGAACTCCTTGTTGCGGCGTGATGGCAGAGATTGAGTCGAACATCTTATTCTTCAGTTCCGTTAGCCTCTTATTCTTTTCTTTTTTGTCCGATCTTTTCCCAATTCTTTTCTTTCTGCACATGCTTCTTGCTTCTGTCTCTCCCCCGCAGTTGCAGTGCAAACTTTCTTCTTTAGATACGTAAGATGCCGAGGACAAGGACTGACGATGCAGAAACTCATTATTCAATGGAATCTGAGGAGAGGGTAGACCTTGATGGTGACAATGATCAAGAGGAGACTCTTGAGGAGGAGGTTGAGTACGAAGAAGTAGAAGAAGAGGAAGAAGTGGAAGAGATAGAAGAGGAAGTGGAAGAGGAGGTTGAAGAGGAAGAAGAAGGAAATGAGGACGGTCATGCGGCTGAGATGGAGGAGGAAGAAGAAGAAAAGAAAAAGCATGCTGAGCTCCTATCACTTCCTCCGCATGGTTCGGAGGTTTATCTCGGAGGCATTCCTACAGATGCTTCTGAAGAGGACTTGAAGGGCTTCTGTGAATCCGTAGGAGAAGTTACTGAGGTAATTAATACCTAAGCTTCAACCCTACAATATGAGCTGATGCTTTCGTGTCTTTTTTTTTATCGTGTCACTGAATGAGTTTTGTATGATGTCAACAGGTTAGGATAATGAGGGAAAAAGAGTCTGGTGATGGAAAGGGTTATGCGTTTGTAACTTTCAGAAATAAGGAATTGGCTACTGAAGCAATTGAGAGACTAAATAATTGTGAATTTCAGGTAAAATCACTCTTCCCAAGTTCAAACAAGTTTTAGTCATCTCAGTGGGATTCATGATTTTTTTTTTTTAATGTTTGAGGATTCTTCTGGCTCTTACTCTCTCTCTCTCTCTTAAATTCTTGTCATCGAATGTAGGGTAAAAGGATAAAATGTTCAACTACCCAAACGAAGCATCGCCTATTTCTTGGTAATGTTCCTAGAAGTTGGACAGAGACGGATATTAAGAGAGCGGCGAGTAGAATTGGTCCTGGAGTCCAGAATATTGAACTTCCAAAGGTCTGTCTCATCTTTAAGTTTCAGCCTATTCATTCTGTATTTGGTCTTTGGAATACTCATCTTTAAGTTTTCTGGTAATATTGTAAAGCTTTAACTTTTAAGAAGCTCTTTCGTTAACGTATTGGTACAATCTCCCTTAAAATTTCAGGATCCACAGAACATGGGCCGGAATCGTGGGTTTGCTTTCATCGAGTATTATAACCATGCATGTGCAGAATACGCGAAACAGAAAATGTCAGACCCAAGATTTAAGCTCGATGATAATGCCCCAACTGTTAGCTGGGCTGAATCTAGGAATGGAGAATCTACTGCTTCCCAGGTTTTGCTTCTTTAGATTCTCTCTCTGACTCTCTTTCGAAGAAGTGATGATATTTGTATGCCAATCTCCTGTCTCTACCTTAGTTACCTTACCAAACAGTTCTTCAAACCCCACTGCTCTATATATATATTTTTTTGTAGTTCTTCAGTTCCTGTGAGTTTTATTATTAACAGATTCACCTTATAATGGTCTTTTTGTGTGGTGAGTGGGATACAGGTTAAGGCACTGTACATCAAGAACTTGCCAAGAGATATAACCCAAGAGCGATTAAAGGCATTGTTTGAACATCACGGGAGAATCACAAAGGTGGCAATTCCACCTGCAAAACCTGGCAAGGAAGACAGCAGATACGGCTTTGTTCATTACGCGGAAAGGACAAGTGTCATGAAAGCTTTGAAAAACACCGAAAGATACGAGATCGATGGTATTGGCCTTTAATAAGCTCATAATCTGTTCTGGTTTTTCTTCCAAACAGTCTTTTCAGTATTTGTTTCTTCCATTACAGGGCACGTGTTGGATTGTTCGCTTGCAAAGCCTCAAGCGGATCAAAAGGCTCCTGTAGTTCAGAACCTGCAGAAACCACAGTTACAACCAAACTATCCTCCTCTTCTCGGTTATGGAATGGGTGCTGGTGGCTTTGGTGCTCTCGGTGTTGGTCTTGGGGCTGCTGGCTTTTCTCAAGTGAGAACTTCTCTAATCATCACCTCATTTACGTTTTCTCTCGTGAGAACCTCTCGAGAGGACGAAACCCTGGCTATTATTCCTAAACTCCCGGCCCAAAGACTGTAAAATAATGAACCAAATCCAGATGAGAATAAAACACAAAATCCACGTAAGATAACTAAATCAAAACCTTAATCTTCTCGGCCTCTTCCGGCTCCCGAGCTCCCGGCTTGATCTTCTGGGGCTGCTGCTTCGTTGGCTGTCCTCTTTCCTTTCCCCCGATGCTCTGATATGTGAAGTGTATCGGAGTCTATCACCTTGCTTCATTCATCTAGGGAAA